AAAAGCAAAATTATTATGATGATTGTGAGCTTTTAAATTAGATATTTTTTTTAAATCCAAGTTGATTTGAAATAGTTATAGAAAATTTTAAAGTTGACTGCCTGAAATTTAGTTCAAACTAAAAATTGTAGCTTTTATACCTATTAAAATTAAATCCTTAAAACCATATATTATAAAATAACCTGTTCAATACATAATTGATATAGTTGAGCTGATTTAAGACCAGTCAAGACAATAAATTTAAAGGTCAAGACAGGTGGAGACTGGGTCAAGACTAAGTAGAGACTAGTCGGCAGGGGTGGAACCAGGATTATTGAAAGGGGGGGGCGAAGTATGTAAAATTTGCCGAGCAGAGCGAGGCGAAAATTTTTTTGGACTTTTTTTGGCTAAAAAAACATAAATTACACTTTTTAACGGTTCCTGACGTGGGGCATGTATATTTTATAGTTAAAGTGTAAGGGTTGAACATTTTTGATGCCGTATTCTCCCCATTATTATAAAATGATTAGATGGATCCAAAGCTATGTACAAATATATTTGATGTGGGACTTGTCAGTAAAAAATGGACATGGAAAATTCTCGTTTGTTGTATGTTTAGTTAGCATATCCTCACAGATTTCTTGTTGTAAACAAGATATACGCCGGGCTATTCAATGAGATTAACAATACGACCGACACGAGTTAAGAAAGACAAACAAGCAATTTTTATCCAAATGTTTGGTTGAAATGTTTCACCCAACAAGGGAAGTGAGGGGTTCCAAATCAACCAAAGGCTACGAATGAGTCTAAAATGGCATCCAATTTAGGAACGACAGTCGACAAATGGAGACATAAAGGCCCAGCAGGCAGGTTGCAGTCAGGCCTTGAAAAAAGTATTCAATATATCAGTTCGGCGAAACAGACATTCCGGTCAGATATGGGAATTACATGCAAACCCCGGGCCGGCCGGCCCGGCTCCAAAAAAAATTAAGACCGTTTTTTTTTTCATCATGTTCATTTAACATGTTTAATGCTAAATAATTCTGTTGAAAATTTTCAAAAAAAGTGGACAAGATTATTGTTTTCAATCCAGATACAGCTAGAATTTTTGTTTAAGGCCAAAATCAGGGTCAGAATTTTTTCTCTCAAATATCTCAGACTGCCCTTTCAAATCAAATGGTCCGTACCTTAGACTTTAAATCTATCTAGAGCTTACTGACTGGGGAGCATTATTCAGCTATATTACTAATAGGCTGGGGCGTGTTGGGTTAAACAAGTTTTCGTAGGTAAAAAATATTGCTGTGGAATTTTTTTTTTCATGAGAGTGTAATAGAGTATTACTCTCTGTTTGGTGGAATTGTGAAATAGAAGTCAATACGTTCTTGCTCAATCCTTTGTCGCTTTGAATGTGTCATGCTTGTCATCCTCAGCCTAAGCAATGTGTTACTGTAATTTGAATTTCAAAATGACTGAGTGACATTTTTTCGACGCACTTGTCAACTCCACCGTAGCAAATCACATGACTTTGACATAATCAATAATATATTACAGTAAATAAGAGCAAAAAATATCTTTATAAGTAAAGAACTGTCGCATGAAAATTAAATACACGGGAAATGGCAAAGTTCACGAAGTCTAGTCTGATTAAACATTTTACACTAAAAAAAAAAAAAAAAAAAAAGTGCAAGCAAAGGGGGGGGGGGGAGGGGGCGTACACCCTCTACGCCCCCCTCTGGATCTGCCACTGGTCGGGACTGGTTGAGCATTTGACAAGACCATATTCTGACTTTACCAAGATTGTCAAGTACTCTTAGACTCATTAGGTTAAATTGTAGACCAAAGTCAAGTACAGTTAAGTACAGTCTAGATTATGTTGGTCTTTTCAAGTAAAAATGCGCTCACTTTGAAAGTCAATTTAACAGTGACAGCAACAATTACAGCGAGACACCGTGTTCTTTGGAACCCTTACAAATTTTTCTTAAAACCATTTAAATTTGCCTTGTTTGTTTTCAGACAATTATTGGTAAAGTAACATAATTAAATTAATAGGATTAGAACTTTGCCCCCCTTTAAACATGTTAAAAGAAGAAGATATCTATAGTATGATTGCTAATCCTAATGATAACTCTAAAAGTAAAAAAAAAATGTTTTAATTTTTAAAACTTTTCAAATTTGCCCCATTTGTTTGTAGGTAATAATCGGTAAAGTAACACATATATATATATATATATATATATATATCAAAAAAGGAAAACACCAGATTAGAAAAAATGATGCAGTATGATATCTAAGGAGACAACTGCCCTAATCTGAACAAAATTTAAATATCATCAGTGTGGTAAGGCTTCAATTATTGAACAAAACAAATGACATACAGTAACATGAGTAAGCTATGAAAGGACCTGTGATAACAAATTCATCTATTATCATGATTATAAGAAAGAACAAAATATGCTGGAAAAAAAAATCATGAATAATATGCCTGAAGGACTTTAAAATATTGAACTTGAATTGACTTTTCTTTGTAGGATACATAGAAATCTTGGAGGACAAATTGACTCGAGTCTTAAAAGACACAGATATGAAGATAAACAAGAGGAAAAGAATGCCAAACATAGTTTAAAGGACTGCATACTTCCTAATATCTTTCAAATTATTGTGTCTTTTTGGTATAAATGTAATAATGCAATATCATCTTATTTGTATAGGCATGTATACATCCTGCAAATCTTGTTGGTACCTTTTAGCTCCTTTTAATGCAACCACTATTTAAAACATTGTCGTGATTGTATTTCTATATGTGAGTTTATTAGATTAAGTTAACTAGCGCGTGCCGCGTAGTAATTGCATATATATGCATTATTAAATACCATACCTATCATCAATCTTAGTCTTTTTAATTCAGAAATAATTTTTAAAACAAGTTTTTTTAATGGAATTTTATTTTCTATGTTTAACCTGTAATATGCACTTAGTCAAATATAGCATGTTGCAAAAGAGATGCAATAGAGAGCAAACATTATATTTCATGTTTACATAAAAACCTTCTAAATGTATCAAAATTCTGTGTTGTAAAATCTTAAAAGATTTTGTTTTTCAGGATTTTTCCCAATATGTTTCAGAAATCTGTAGCATAATTTTTGCTTGTAGATCTTATTTCGGGATTTTCCCGAAATGGGTAAAAAAAAAATATGCACCAAGTGTGTGCCTGATAATAGATTTATATTTTCGGGATTTTTCCCGAAATGTGAAAGAAATTATTAGTCATGAGTTCTAGCATATACATAGATTTTCGGGATAAATCCCCAAATATATGAAGACATCTGTGTTATACATTTTGTACTTAGTTTATTTTTGTCGGGATTTTTCCCGAAATGTGTTTCAGATCTGTTTGTCAAAACGCTTTGCCAACAATTTTTAATATGTTATAAATAATAATGTTGAAAATGATTTCGGGACATTTCCCGAATAACAAGTGTCACATACATATTTACCACTAATATTTTAAAACTTTCATATATTTTGGGAAAGTTCCCGAACATTAAATTTAAGTTTTATCAATTATAAGAATAAAAACATGGAATATTGTAAAATATGTGTGTTTCTTTATGAAATCTGCATTCATTTATAGTAAACATTGAAAAAGATTATAAAAATGAATAAAATGGATTTTACTCTTTTAAAATAGAGTCAGTTATACATGATATCAATTAAATAAATACGAATAAACACAAAACGAAGTGGCTACTTAGGAAATGGTAAATTAAGTTGTTAACATTATTTCTAAAAAATGTCATACTAAATTTCACACCTTATTTTGTTTTAATATTTTGTATATTTTTTCAAACTTGACAAAACAAAAAGAATGTTTCTTGCCTCATCAATTGTTGAACAATTTAATATATAATGATATTCGATTTGAAGGACGCTGGTGTGCAATAGTTGTATTTGTAAACAGCGATACAACTAAATGAAATTTTTAATTTATTTTATTGTTAAGGTTACATTGACGTTTTTAAAACACACAAAAAACTTGTTGATCGTGTAACAGCACCAGTGAATCACTGTGATGTATAACTTTGTTCAATTTCTTATGTATTTTCCTTGTTGAATAATTTCTCAGCAACGAAAATGTTACGTATACTGAAATCGGACCGTTTATTGCAAACGCATTGAACCGAATATCTTATAAAGTCAAAAACATGTAACGTACATATCGAAACCTTATGCCATCGTATGATTTCTTTGCTCGAAACACGAGTTTCTGGAGCTCATTATAGTTTCCAATAACGACGAATTGATTGACATGTTTCGAAAATCTAGACTAAATAGTTGCTGGGTTTGTACCTGATACAGAAGACAGGTGTACTACAATGTATTAGATTATTCGATTTTTTCATATAAACAAGAAGCGAATGCAAAGCTTTAAACAGAGAGAAAACATACTTTCAAAGAAATGCAACACTTCAGATATAGTATGTTATGGTGTTACATTGATTAGAATAAGCGTGATCACACATTTATCAGTTATAAGTATTATGGTTAGTCCAGCAAAGACAACAATGTTGTGGACAATTACGGTATTACAGTTAAAATATATGGATATTCTGATTAATGTTTTTTAAATTTGAAGGCCTATCTATATTCAAAGTATAGAATTTAATTCCGTCTGCACTTCATACTTCAAAATTCTTATATATCCTCAAATGAAAACGAGCTGATAAACTGTTGTTCTATCTTATGGTTTTCTGTATCATTCACTTTTTACCTTCAAGATTGGTAGGTGTAAAGTAATTGCCTTCGAACACCGATGACGTTGTTTTTTTTCAAATTGCAGCAGTGAGCTATGTCATGCCCATGTATTCTAATTTTGTTGTGAAGAAAATTAATATTATTAGTAAATTGGATTCCATAAGTTGTCACGAAAATCTGACAGATGTTCAATTTGGGCTATCTAACTTTTGTGTGCAGATATAGTATATCTTGTATCGACATTCTAACGGTTTATCAAAATCTTCCAGATCATACAAGAAATACAACCTCTGGAATTAACGCCATCACAACATTCCAAAACTTCAGCCGGACAACAATGACGTCATTCGGGAACAATACCGAAGAGATTAAACAAGGTAACGAAGGTGTTTAACATGTTTTTTAGCTGTTCTTTTTCAAAAAAATCCAAAGGCGATTTAAAATATATTTGTCTTTGTTAGACGACATCGAAAACAATTCTTGCAAACGCATTGAACCGAATACGACGAATTGATTGATATGTTTCGAAAATCTAGACTAAATACTTGCTGGGTTTGTACATGTTTCAATAGACAGGTGTACTACAATGTATTAAATTATTCGATTTTTTCATATACTGTGGATTCATTATTATTCGTTGGATACCACTTTTCGTGGATTTTGTGGGTACAGGGGAACCACGAATTTAAATGTTAAATGCAATACAAATATTCTATATGAATATATGCAGACTTTGGCAAAACCACGAAATCAAATATCAACGAAATTGCAAGTTTACCTCAAACCACAAAAATTGGTACCCACGAAAATAAATGAATCCACAGTAAACAAGACGCGAATGAAAAGCTTTCAACAGAGAGAAATAAAATTGAGAATGGAAATGGGGAATGTGTCAAAGAGACAACAACCCGACCAAAGAGCAGAAAACAGTCCAAGGCCACCAATGGGCGAGAAAATCCCCCACCCGGAGGCGGGCTTCAGCTGGCCCCTAAACAAAAATGTGTACTAGTTCAGTGAAAATGGACGTCACACTAAATTTCGAAACATATAAATGTGATAATATTAAAAAAACATACAAGACTGCAAAGGCCAGAGGCAAGAGGTCTCAACCCTCCCCCTTTACCTCTAGCCAATGTAGAATAAACAAACACACAGCAATACGCACAGTAAAACTCAGTTTAAAAGGTTTCCGAGTCCGATGTCAGAATAGGTGCCAGAAAACATACTTTCAAAGAAATGTAACACTTGCAAAACTGTTGTTCTATCTTATGGTTGGAAAGTATTTGCCTTCGAACACCGATGACGTTGGTTTTTTTTTCAAATTGCAGCAGTGAGCTATGTCATGCCCGTGCTAATTTTGTTGTGAAGAAAATTTATATTATTAGAAAAAAATGATTCCATAAGTTGTCACAAAAATATGACGGATGTTCAATTTGGGCTATCTAACTTTTGCGTGTAAACGGTTTATCAAAATCTTCCAGATCATACAAGAAATACAACCTCTGGAATTAATGACATCACAACATTTCACAACGTCAGCCGGACAACAATGACGTCATTTGGGAACAATACCGAAGAGTTTAAACAAGGTAACGAAGGGGTTTAACATGTTTTTAAGATGTTCTTTTTAAAAAAAAATGCAAAGGCGATTTCAAGTATTTTTGTCTTTGCTAGACGCCATCGAAAACGGTTTTTTTCTAACAGTAAAGGGAACATAATAAAATGAACTTGTAAACTCATCTTAAAACATTTTTTGTTTCGAATTTCCGCATACTTTTGTAGTAGAAGAAGTAATTTCCATCTCCGTTAACGGACGTCACAGAATCCGTTGATATTCTATTAATTAGAGTTCTCATGAGAGCGCTCTGTCAAACTCTTTTGCAGAAAATATACAATAATTGCTATAATTATTTCATTGAACCTAAAGCTTTCAGTTATGAATTTGTTAGATTTTATTCTCAGTTATTGTTGATTTGTATGACATGTATGATCTATTCCCTCAATTTCGATTTTAATCATTCATTTACAATTAATACTGAAAAATAGTATACATTTTAAAACTACAGAAAACTGAACAACCAAATATTTCTCAACACGATTTTCATATATATATGAATTAGTTTTGTTACCTTACATGTCTGATTCCTTTTATATTTCATTGCTTTACATCTTTATCATACGCAGGACATATTCTGCAATACTTCATTCATACTTCTGTCGTATCTGGTCTAGTTATTATTGCGATTTGTGCCGTTTGGATGTGCAAAAAAGGAAAAGAGACAATCAAAAGAGAAAGCAATATCTCTTTCCAAGGGAATAATGTTACCTTTAATGCTACTGCAGCAGATGGTCATATTTCTGCACTTTATACTGAGGTTAACTATAATGGAATGATAGATTACGACATAAAAAATTCACAGAAGAAGGGCATCATCGTTGGCGAAGAACCGACATGTTCTTACACACAGCGAAGTCAGAGTTATGGTAACTTGTTTCCTCAACATGAATATGAACGTCCATATCACACATTGAAAGACAACCGTTCCTCTTCAAAACACGAGTATTGCTGGACTGCGATGTGAAAAGATACGAGAATACCATAACACTATATTGCACATATTATGTCTTTGAATGAAAATTTTACATGGTTACTGTAGTTTGATTTGCTTTTACTTCTACTCTACATCAGGTCAAGTATTATACAAAAATATATATGACTTTTTATAAACATATGTACTTAATTTGAATATTCATTGTAAGTGGACACTTGAGATTCACAAGATATTTTATAAATGAATCAAAGTGTTAAACACTTGATCACTCTGTCTGTCCTTTAACAAGTAGCGTAGAAAAGTGAACTTACTTTTCAAATTATAATAATTGATATCAAGTATTAAATGTATAATGTTATTTGTAAATTATCTCTCATGTTTACCTTAAGAATGTTTGTATGACTTAGTAGACGGCATACTTGCTGATTTGTGACCTGTAATTGTTCCCATCTTAGTTCTTAGTTCTTTTTGTATTATGGATAGTTGTTTCTTTGGCAGTTACTCCACACATACTTTTTTTTTAATGAAACAACAATACACAAAATCTAAAGTTAACATTTTTTTGTAAAACATTTGCTTGCCTCGGATTGATGTTTCTTTAATGTATACCCCACATTTCCCTTTGTTCAAATCATGTTATATTTGACAATTTAATTGTAAAACCTATGCAAATGTCTTAACATAAACACTTTATAGCATGATGACAAAGATTCCTTAATAATACATGATTTGGTCACAAAGTTAAACTTAAGCTAATTATAATAACCGATGAAGGTAGTTTTAGTAGTTAACTATTCATTGTTATAATTTACTTCGATGTAATTTTTTTTTCTTTTGTGCTATTTGATTTTAGCAACCGCCTTGTACACACAAACGTGAATGGCTGCAGTTGATACACATTCTTAATCACCCTCATCATGAACTTTTAGAGCCTGAATTTAAAGACCGAATTATATAAGGAATTATTTCACTTGAGATAGCCTTAAAGGGAAGATCCAAACAATTACTAGTATAACATGAATTGCGTTTGAGGAAATACAATGTATTATTTAATGTAAAGTCTGAACAAGGTTTGTCTTACTTTTTTAATCGTGACGTATATGTACAAAGTGTATTATGTAGTTAAACCAAAGTTACTAACTCTACTAGTATTTGTTTTTTTAATGGTTATCATCTCTACTGAACAGAAATATTATTTTGTATTAAAATGTGTACATTATTTTTGTAATAAACATGATAAAAAAATTGACTGATGCATTTTATATTTTGTATTGTGTCATTGTTTTTTTGGCTTGATCAGATTTTCTGTTCTCGTTACAACCAGTCCTTGAATGAAAATAGATAATACGTACCCGGATTACAACTAGAACTCAATAAGCGCATGCTACTTGTTACTCTTGCCTCGGGAATCCATCTTTATTAGTAGAATGTGAAGTTATGAATTTAAAATCACATTGGATGTGGAACTTTGCTGAAAGATCATTCAGCTATATCAGTCAGTATGGACAGAATTGACTTGTAACTGAAAGTAGGGAAATTCCTATGAGAACTAACTACGTAGGTCTAATTGAAGATTTTTGATTTAAGTTGGGAGTTTTATCTTTTCAGTGGAAACACATTATGATTTCGTTCTGATTATTTTTATTATTATTTTTTTTTCTTCCGTAGCTTTTCCTATTTTTTTCTAACGTAGTATTTTTGTTTCAAAAGATGCCGTAAACATATTGAGTATATGATGTGTAACAGTAACTGCGCTTTTGAAACTCATCATTTTAATGAACAATTGTCTTTGTATGAGTCATCTTATCAAATACTGCAATCTCCTCCGTTACAAAAAAAAAAAAAAAAAAAAGATTTAAACGAAATCCTTTAATCAATTTTTTTTACATCATCAGAAGATACGGTCAATTTTGATCGATGCGTTCCGGTGACATTTTATGTGAATAATCTGCCTTTCACTAATTAAGTAACTAAAGCTTTTAGATGTTTAAGTTAATGAATTATTGTTTGGAATTTCATGCTGAAGCATAATAAAGCCGTGGAGTCTTTTGTTTTATGTTGAAAAGTATTTGACCGTAAGTGACCTTGATGAAACCGATAGTTTTGTTTTTGCACTTATTTCAAGCAAAAGTCCCTAGCAACTATATATATTATTTTTTGATCGTTTTTAAAGTTCCAGTTCTTAAGTAATTACTTAACTATCAAATATATGCTATTCAGACTTATTCAGAAGGCATATAGTTACGATACTGTCAGGTCATTAAAGATGGCATATTTTAGTATAAATATTGATTCACTCATAGGGTCTTTGCATGGGAAATAAACACATTTATTCTAAAACCAGTTGTTGGCATGATACGGGTTATGTTCTTCTCATATATTTTATGATGGTATGATACTAAGCCCCTAACGGGAGGGATTGTGCTTGATTTTATATGAGGAAAACATAATCTTTCAGTCAGTTAAATTGAGGTTTGGAGCTGGCATGTCAGTAACTGCTAGTAGTCCTTTGTTAATTTATGTATCATTGTCATTTTACTTAGTTTCTTTTGTTACCTATTCTGACATCGGACTCGGACTTCTTTTAAACTGAGTTTTACTGTGCGTATTGCTGTGTGTTTGTTTATTCTACATTGACTAAAGGTATAGTGGGAGGGTTACATGTCTAACACCGCCGCTTTGTTGCACCTGTCCCAAGTCAGGGGCCGCTGGCCTTTGTTAATCTTATATATTTTTTTGTTTTGGTTCATTTATATGTTTTGGAGTTTAGTGTGAAGTCTTTTTTACTGAACTAGCACACAATTTTGTTTAGGGGTCAGCTGAAGCCCGACTCCGGGTGCGGGATTTTCTCGCTGTGTTGAAGACCCATTGGTGTCCTTCGGCTGTTTTCTGCTTTGGTCGGGTTGCTGTCTCTTTGACACATTTCTCATTTCCATTCTCAATTTTATGTTATCCAATTCAACCGTCATTTCAAGATATTCCCCTCATTTAGAGCACAGAGAATTTTCGATGTAACTAGCCAGCATTCCAACAAGACTTAAGAAAATACAAATGGAAGCTGTTGAAAATTAAAAGCAAATCGAAGCAGGACATGAATACCATGTTCAAATGAAAAAAAAAGGAAAAAAAGAAAACAAACATTAGAAACATTACTCTGAAAAGTCATGAAGGTGACAGAAGATAGGAGTCGACTCAGGTAATCCGTAACAGTCAACACAATATGTATATCTTAGGGTAACTATTAAATTACTTTTATAACCCATTCGCACATCTACAACGCACATGTGCATCAAGTACATCTGGTGTAAATTTGGCTAATTTTCAATAATGCCACATCTTTTTATGTTTATGCTTGTACATAGCCATGATGACTTTTTATATACAAAAAAAATTGTTTTCAAATATGACAGTTCCATCGGATATTCAGGCTTCCTTCAACAAAAGACTGAATTACTGGCCATGACATTGCGCAGGTCGCTGAAAGGGGCGTTAATGAACACCAAACAGCAAACAAACTATATTTACAGTAATATTCATATTCTTACTGATTATTTGTATTATAAAAGGTGTCAAACACAGTTATAAAATATTACATACTCGTTTGGTGGGTTGGAGTAAATAGCATGGTCAAAATACCATTGGTGCTGTCATACGCCACAATTCAAAGAAAACATGCAACATAAAAAAAAACAAGAAGAAGAACAGAAGAACAAAATTCCATAAATCATTGCCCAAAAGATATAGTAACCAATGTATTGAATTTGGGGTTTATTAGCTCACCGGGACCCGAAGGGCCCCATGTGAGCTTATGCCATCACTTGGCGTCCGTCGTCTTCCGTCGTCTGTCGTCGTCGTCTGTCGTCGTCTGTCGTCATCTGTCGTCGTAAACTATTTCAACAATCTTCTCCTCTGAAACTACTGGGCCAAATACCTTCAAACTTTAACTTAATGTTCCTTAGTGTATCTAGTTTATAAATTGTATCCGAGGTTTTGATCCTTCGACAAACATGGCCGCCATGGCTAAAAGTAGAACATAGGGGTCAAATGCAGTTTTTGGCTTATATCACAAAAACTAAAGCTTTTAGAGCAAATCTGACATGAGATAAAAATGTTCAATTGGTCAAGATCTATCAGCTCTGAAATTTTCAGAGGAATTGAACAACCCATTGTTGTGTTGCTGCCACCGAATTGGTAGTTTTAACAAAAATTTGCAGTTTTTTGTTATTATTTTGAATATTATTATAGATATATATAAACTGTAAGCAGCAATAATGTTTAGCAAAGTAAGATCTACAAAAAAGTTACATGACCATAATTGTCAATTGACTCCTTAAGGAGTTATTGCCCTTAAAAGACAATTTTACACAATTTGTTCATCAAGTTTGCTAACATTTAAAAATCTTCTCCTCTGAAACCACTAAGCTAATTACCTTCAAACTTTAACTAAATGTTCCAAAGGGTATCTTGTTTATAAATTGTATCCGAAGTTTGTATCCATCGACAAACATGGCCGCCATGGCTAAAAATAGAACATAAGGGTCAAATGCAGTTTTTGGCTTATATCTCAAAAACTAAATCTTTTAGAGCAAATGTGACGTGGAGTCAAATTGTTTAATTGGTCAAGATCTATGGGCCCTGAAATTATCAGACGAATCAAACAACCCATTTTTTTGTTTGCTGGCACCGAATTGGTAGTTTTAACAAAATTTTGCAGTTTTTTGTTATTATTTTTAATATTATCATAGATATATATTAACTGTAAGCAGCAATAATGTTCAGCAAAGTAAGATCTACAAAAAAGTTTACATGACCAAAATTGTCAATTGACCCCTTAAGGAGTTATTGCCCGTAGAGACAATTTTAACAATTTGTTCATCAAGTTTGCTAACATTTAAAAATCTTCTCTGAAATACAGGTGAGCGATTCAGGCTCTTCAGAGCATCTTGTTTCTTAACAAATTAAAAAAAAAAACAAAACGTAAATTAGTTTTAGACGGAAAAGAATAGAACAAATTGTCTAATTTAAACATGTTAAAGGCAAAAGACCTGAGACAAAGACTTTTTTTCTATCACTCGACCATCCCTTCTTTAGTAAGTTTTAGTGAGAAAAAACACAAAAGATTTAGAAAACAAGTAAATCGACCAAAGACAAAATAAAAACCAACTTGCTACACGGTTTAACAGCTGAAGACTACATTTACGAAACAGGTTTAAGTTATACCATATCAACCAATACATGCAATAATGCATCTGTAGGGTTGTTTTGTTTTTTTCATTATAATTTGTGTATTTACTGATTGTAAATCAATGTCAACATACATAGTTCAATTTATTACTTCCGCATCTAAATTGATCATTGGTAAATAAAGTTATCAAAATGATTGGAAATATCGCGTTAGTCTTCATTATTTGTTCCTTTTTGAATGGACTTAATTCTGGAGGTAAGTTTATAGTTTTGCATCATGTTAAGTGTAATCAATTAATTCATGCTAGTGGTTCAGATATTTTAGAATCACTTTATATTATTTAACATTACTGCTAACCATATAATATTTTATACTTATTGACTGGGTATGAGTGGAATAGTAAGTTTATTGTCCCCGAGGTAAAACCATTGCCCTGAGGCGTAGCCGAGGGCAATAGTTGTATTCGAGGGGACAATAAACTTACTATTCCACGAATATCCAGTCAGTGAGTGTTTTATTATACCAAAAGAGACAACAGACAATAAATGTCGGGGCTAAATCAACTATCGTAATATAAAAAGCAGAAACACAACCATACTGTTTAACGTATACTTCATATATATTCTGAATAATAAGGCTACGTCCTGCACTGACGTCAACCATAGATACAATAAGTAAAACGCGACGTCGCAACTCCCACGGTATTCTCAACATCTTCCAATCCCGTAGCTGCATTTAAAATTCCGCGAAATATAATGACGCTTGCGGTCAAATAGTTTCATCGATGTCCAATAGTTGGAAACTATTGACCAGTCAAATAGTTCAACGCTTGCAATTTAAAAAATAGTCAAAATATTGTGTACTTATTTTATATAGAAAATGATAACTGAGGTATAATAAAAGTAATTTAAACATATATATTGTAGATACAGTTACATGGATTGAGAGCGCATCAAGATGTGGTCTTGCAAATCAACAAGAAATTCAAACAACAAATGCTTCATATCCGCCATCATGGATAGGAGGCTATTACCTAACAACTTCCTGGGTGGCATACCTAGGTATGTAGCAGAAAAA